TTTCGGATTCAATTCCAGCCTCTTGAACAGCAGTAGCGGCTCCAACACGGGAATCCGTGGCGGATACACGGGCACGCCATGGAAAGTGAGGAACTACTCGGAAGGGATTTCAGGGTAAGAGAGACTTTATTACGGTTGATCAGGTTGGCTGAGCAAACCTTCAGGAGTAAAATTTGACCAAAGCTGGTGCACAGTGGATCCCACAGTGAGAGAGCATCAACAAGTGTCTTTTTTAATATTTCAGAGTATCCCATGGAAGCTACTAGTACTTATTTATTTAACTTATTCCAAACTCATGTACAGGCAGGGAGTAATTTGAGGTTGCTAATCTCGCCCCACCCTCTGTTGCATCCCCGCCCACTGAAGACACTCGGTGTAGTAACAACACCAAAATGGTCTGCCAAAGTGAGGAAGTCTGCTTAAAAAAAAGCAGTTTTCAAACCATTGTGAAATGTATTCAGTAAATATAAATAGCAAATCATTTTATTTTAAACAATAATGTAATGCTTTTAGATAATTTTTTTTATCTCTAAATGCATAGAAAAGGCTTTGCCTCAAGCAAGTTGCTTTATTTTGTGTTATTAAGTATATTTAAGGAATATCCTACTGGATTTCAAGAAATTGTGTATGACATGTTCCAACACAGTTATAATCTAGATGACTTTTCCTAAAATGCACTCTGCAAGATGCATGAGTAGTCAATGTGGAACTGGTGACTTTTTCTTACTAAGCTAAGAAACCTAAGAATACACAGTTATGGACAATACATCATTGCAGGCCAAGAGGAACACACTGGCTCTGCATGGCAAAGGATATGTCTATGGGTATTGTATAAACAGAACATTGCAGCTCTGAGCTTTTAACAATTTAATCCTGGCTTGCTAACTTTTTTTAGGGGCTGTAAACCAAACACTGAATACAGTGACACAGATGCACCATACTGGTGGAGTTTACAAACTAAGTTGCATTTTCAAATAAATGGGTCTGTAAATAGAAACTGATTAAATAGAGAGAGTCACAGTCAGTATATTTGCCAAAGTTGTCAAACTGCTTTTGAATACTGTGTTGTCAGCTAAACTTTGTATGGTTACTATGACTTAATGTCTAGTTTTTTTTTTTTTTTTAACATGCAAGCAAGATGTTGTGCATTCTAGGTTTGTGCCATCATCTGGCAAGGCTCTGTCTTGGCTATGTATGTGCAAGCATGCATTCCCGATGGATTACTTTGTAACGTGAACACTGTATTTCTGCCGTTTACCTGGAAATCGTCATGACCAAAGATGAAATAGCTGCCAATGTCAGCCCTGGTCTGAATGCATCCATAGGTCTGTTGCATGCTTATCATGTCTGACTCCGTAAATATGCACATGCCCCCGCAGTCTTCCACCGTCATGTAATGAGGTGCAGATTCAGTGCATGCCTCTCAAAATTGGAAACACTGCAGACCGCACCTGAGCTAACTACACATGGCTCCCTGAATACACACCAATAATGAGGTAACCAGCTTATTTATTGTGATGCTAAGACTAGTAAGTAGCAAATAACACACATGCATCAGTTGTAAAACACACTGTGTTTCTACTTTCTTCTTGTCCCATGTGCTTGCTATAGATTTGTCCTCAGCATCCATTACAGTTTCAGAGAGCAATCACAACTTCTGCACAAACTGTTAAGAGGTTTAGGATTATGGGATAAATTCCAGTTTCCTGTTTTTGATGACTCCTTGATCCTTGCTTGACCCAGAAGTTGTTCCTGTGGAGCAAGGATCATGGATGTCCCAAAGCTCTGAGGACTGAGCAGCAAGGAGGCTGCCTGGGGGATCCATGAGATACATGAGAACATCCTTTACAGAAGTCTTTCATTGACCAACATACTGTCATTCTGTGTATGTAGACTTCTTTTATAGAGATAAATGGGGCACCATCTTTGAATGTGGTATCTAGCTCTCTTTAAGATAGTGGTGCTATGTATTCAACAATTGCTGCAGAAAGGGGGCACATGTCCACAAAGGAGGCCCCATGAATGTTTCCTCAGGGAGCATGCTTTATTAAATGCCTTGTGACTTAATATTTCCTCATCTGTGGTTCTTGTAGATATCATAAATGGGGAAACATGTTTAGATGGGTGGTATGAAATATTATATTAATAAAAAAGGTGTGAAAACAGGTTTGTATTTGTGCACTTATTTTGCAGGCTTGAGTAGTTTGGTTTGCACCTGTAAACTTCATTTTGTGATTCTTTTTTTTTTTAAGCTCTGCTTACAAAAACTGACCATGTAGTAAATATGTGAAAAATCAGCAAGCATGCGCACACATGCTTGCACAATTTTTTTTTCCTCCTTCACAGCTTGTGAAAATACCTTTTGTAAGCTTGACAGTGAATGCACAAACCTGTAGAATAGAATTTGCAGGCAGAAACCTCAATGTACCAGCTTATAAAATTTTAATTTGCAGGTACAAACCTAAAAGTACAAGCTTACTACCCAAACTTACAAAGTTAAGTTTACAGGTGCAAAGTTAAGTTTACAAGCATACAAAATAGGTTTACAGATAGAAGCCTCTGTTTTCATGCACACCTTTTTGAATAATATAATGTTCCATTGGGTGGGGCTCTGTTTGAAAGGTCTTTTAGGTGCAGAGATTTGCCCTTTTCCCCTACTCCTTTCTGATAGACGTGTGTAGACAAGCAGAATGCCAGAGTGTGGAGCTCAGTCTTTGGGTGATCCTCATTTATAGTAATATGGAAGCTCTGTGTTTGCATGAGGACATTCCTTAGTGATGAGCTCTGCTAATACCAGATCCTGAACCTCAGAGCCTTGATCATGCTCGCCACCACTGAAGGCTCTCTAACAATGCTCTGGTAATTCACACACCAGCATGTTCTGTGGCATTACAGGAAAAAATTTCAAAATGCACATGTAAAGAACTACCTCAGTATGTTGTAAAAACTGCCCATGTTGAGTCGTGTTAATTTCAAAGTTAGATGTTCATTCATTACATGTTTAGTTGCTTGGGAGATTTTGATGAATAGTAACATCCAGTTCCATGAAAATTAGCTCTGATGGTTTTGGTCCATTGATTTAAAGGGTTACAGCCATGCAAAATAGACTTTTTTTTAAGAAGAATTCAAAGAAACTTATGGGATTTAAAATCTGTGACTGGTACTTTTTTGCATTAATGTTTGTTCTGTTCTTTTTGTATTGCCATATGTTTTGATGAAGGGTAACTTGGTGAGCTGGCAGTTGCAAATTCAATTGATATTTGTAAGTAGCAAAAAGGGTGAAGGATGGTGTAAGCTCAAATGCCTTTTCCATAGGACAGCTTGTACACTGTATTTGGCCATGGGGCTTGGCTAGTGAGTGTGCTTATTTGTGTTTTACGCACCTCAAAATTTTTCTGGACTTGAGTACGTCAAGGTCAGGAGTTTGCCTCATGATGGAAAAGTGTTTACATGCTCCACACAGCCTCATGCCCGCAAAACAAAGTCAACCCTCTGAGAAAGAAACCCCTATCCAATCACAAGGAGGGCTCTAAGGGAGTGTTTCCACCTCCTTTTCTGGTTGTGTAGAAGACTTGTTTAGAGTCTTTATATGGGCACAGGAAGTTAAGTGTGGCCTGGGAAAGCTGTGGTCTGTTTCTGTCCTGCTAAACCATGTTCCTATCTGGTGTTGCTTTGTGGGTTTTTACTCTGTAGGAAAGATGCAATGTTCCAAAGTTCCAGACATTTTATAACAGAGGGGCATTGTGCAAGAGTGAATTCATAGTGATATGTGGATTTACTGGATGTCAGTTTTTTTCTGTATAACTGGACAGTGTTATTACAAACTACCCTTCTAAAACTGATTTGTTAATTTATTCATGTGGTCTACAGTAATCGTGAGATTTATTAGAGAACACTTCCTTTGTAGCCCAACTGATTTGGGTGTAGTGGAGGAGACAGCCCCTCCTAAACACGGAAATATCAAGCCATTCTAACATACAGGCTTTGAATCACTTACAAGTAGTCAGAAAGCCTAGTCACACCAGCCTTTGGTGTTATGTTTACATTTACATAAATTAAGCTTGTTGAAATGAAATTGCTATTTTCAATGGATTTTGATCGTGGCCTCAAAGTGACCCTGGTGGTTTTTGCCTGAATTTAAATGTTTTTGAACTTTATCACATGAATTTATGTCAGTAGCAAATAATCTTCAGAGTTTAAAGGGGCTGTTGTCACAAAGTAGCATTACTTCTCTGGTAAATAAAAAAATATAAGGGCATGCTATGGTTTAGTGATCAGGGTTTCTCCTAGGTTTTAGCGGGTTTAGGTGTGGTCTAGGTCAGGGAGGTGGTGGGGGTTGTGTGGTTTGAAATTATTTGAAGGAAATGTAGTTAATTTATTTTTTCTCTTTTTTCAGCCATTAGCCTTACAATACTTGTGAAGTTAAGCACATGGAATCCTGTCATCCCATCCCTCGTGTTGTTACTCCTATGTCGGCTTCTGCTCTTTTCTTCTGACATTTTCATTTTAATATTCACATGTGATGAATGTTTTATTCATGCAAAGCAAGTTGCTCCTGTAGCCCGAAATGGTAGTAACCTCAGAGCAACTGCACTTGATTAATTTTAGTAGAGCCTGGCGTTGGCAGCTAGTTGCAAGTAGTGAAGCAGAGCATCACTTGCAGGCTAATGAAATGTGTGGTTAATCGCTTGCTGATGAGTAGCCCTAGCTCGTGACTTTATTGCTGCTGTCTTTTGGAGATTTATGACCCCCACAGATAGCACCTCTGTGACTGAAGCTCCATTATTAGAACTGTGCTCTGTTCAGCCTCTACTGGCTTTGACATCTACAGTATGTCATGCTCTCCTTTCTCTTTCTCTGCTTGCTTGCTGACTGACTGAGTCAGAGCTTGTAAACAGGTGGAGAGGGAATCCTGATGTAGGTGAAACAGGCCCCCCTCTGAAGAGCACTTTTAGGCAGCTCTCCATAACTCGGTGTGTTGTGAGGAATGTGTTCCTCTTCCTGCCCAATGGAAAACCCTTCCCATGCTCCAGACTGATGCAGTCAGCATGTTATGCACAGCATCCTTGCTGTTTTTCATAGCCTGGGTTTAGCCTGCGACTTTTTGAGTAAGT